CCCACTTTCCCTCCCCGCGTGAAGGAGTCTGGTTCGGGCCGCCAGGGGTCGCCAGTGGGCGGTTTCCTCAGGTGAGCGGTTTCTCCGGACTCTCCAGGCGGCCGCGGACTGTGGTTTCTCCGGACTCCGGGGGGCAGCGCACGGCAGTTTGAGAAACGGGCGAGGGAGATGCGAGTTCCTCCTCGGTGGGAGGCGTCACTTCACTCAGTTGCGGCCCTTCCCTGAGTTTAGACCGCGGGGGAGCGTTTCCGCCCGCTCGCTTGTTAAACTTCCTTCTCCTTCTGCCTCCCGGGCGCGGGCGCGTCCCGCGGGGCTGCGTCGCGCGGTGGCGTCGGGCTCCGGCTCCCGCTGTCGGGCGCGTCCCAGCGCTCCCGGAGCCGCTCACACGGGCGCGGGCCCTCGGCAGGCAGCCGAGCTTTACAAGCCAAGCCTTCTTTCCTTTTCTCTTTTTTTTTTCTGAGACGGAGTCTCACTGTGTCGCCCTTGGTAGAGTGCTGTGGAGTCACAGCTCACAGCAACCTCGGACTCGGGGCCTCAGCCTCCCAGCAGGCGCCCCCACAACGCCCGGCTGTTTTCTGTCATTGCTGTTGAGCTGACCTGGGCCGGGCTCGATCCCGCCAGCCTGGGTGTGTGTGGCTGGTGCCCTGACCGCTGAGCTACGGGCACCCCCACAAGCCACACTTTTTACTGAGTTACGGGCGGCTCTCAGGATGGGGGCGCATGGCCATGGTGCGCCGCGACTGTGCTGGGACGGCCAGGACACGGAACTGCTGTGCAAATACGGATAATGAGGGTGACGCTGTCTGGGCCTGAGGCTGGACAGGCAGTTGCCGGGCAGACATCCTCACAAGAGCATTTTTTGTACGTGGCTGTGGGCTCCACAGTCCCCTGTGATGGCTCCTGTTCCCCAGCAGGCCAGCATGAGGTCCTCCTGGCATAGACTTCCATGCCGCTATTTGTTAGGGTTTAACACTGTGACTACTTTGATTCTGACAGTTCTCACATCACAAAGCCTTGATGTACAGAGCCACCCCCCAAATGCAGCAAGTACAGGGTCAGTACATGGCGAGGTCATCTCCGACATGGGCTTCGGCCCTTGGCTTTGGCGGGAGAGCTGACCATTCCTGGTCAGACTGACGCTACACCAGACACCTGCACAGCCGAGTGTGTCTGCTGAGCACCTTCTCCCGGTCAGTCAGCAGGTGTGGCAGGGCCAGGCCTGCACGGGCAGCAGTCGCCTGCACCTCACTCAGTTCTTGGGGGAGATGTGGGCATAGCAGACAGCACTTGACCATGACCTCAGTCTGGTTTGTGCAGTGTGGGAAGGAAAAGAGCAAAAGGTCCTGCAGAGAGGATGCTGGGAGTCTGACCCAGACAGGGGCTGACAGGCATCTTATGAGAAGGGGGAAGGACCTGCACAAGGCCACAAGGTGGGCAGCCCAGGGAAGTCCAGGTGCAGGACCAGGCCCCAAAGGTCTAGCCAGCAGCACAGAGGGCCCGTGGGAGCCTTCCAGCCCAAGGAGGGCTGGCAGGGGCAGGCCAGGTGGGTCAACCAGGAGAAGGGTGGTGGCTGGTGGGGCCAGCAATGGGTCTGCTGGGTTTCTGGTACTTTCTATAGCTAGTGTCAGCTTGGCCATGTTTTTTGAAAAAGAAATTTCTTAGACAAGTTTTTCTTGAGAATCTATCAAATTTATCAGTTTGCTGGTAAGGAACCCAGTGAGGTGACCAAACAAGCCACTGTAGAGAGGGCTTGAGAAGGAGAATGAGAGGGTCACAGGCTGTGGGCACAGACTGCCACCTAAGCAGGAAAGAATGTGGTTCCTTTTGGCCAGATCCTAACATCATGTGAGCAATGATTGATCAGTTGTCCCAGAAACGCCTGCCCTCTGTGGCAGGTGGCCTGGACACCGGTCATCAAGAGCAGAGACACATGAGGAGGACGTGTCTGTGTCTGAATGGGAACCCTCAGGACTGTCTCACAGACTGATTTACAGACGGCTGGTCAGTGTCACTGCAGGCCAGTGGCTGGCCTCTGGGTGCCTGGCAGGAACAGTGGGCAGGTGCAGGCCACCCCCAGAATCTTGGAGGAGTGGCCTTGAGCTGGCTGTGGCTGTGTACTGGCCCTCCCCCCAACTCCTAGCACCTGCTAATCCAACCTCTCCATCACTCCCTTGCTGGACACCCTCTGTGGTCCATTGTCAACTCTCAGGATGACAGTGTTAGACCGTCCTGTGGATCTGGCCAAGGCCCAACTACAGCGTTCATCCCTTTGTGTCCTCCCTCTGTTCCTAGTGACCTGTATCCACAGGGCGCCAGGCCTCTTGCCTGCTGGAAAGAGGTGCTACTGCCTCCTGCTTTCCCTTGAGGGGTCATCGCTGTCTGCCCCGGGGCCCAGCTCCATGCCACCGTCTTTGGCTGGGACCTCCGGGTTCGTAGGTGGCCACTGCCTCTGTGGTGCTGGCCCCCCGGGTGCTCTGCTGTGCCAGAGGCATGTGGCAAGGCGAGGTTTGGAAGCCCTGCCTGAGTCAGAGGCTGCCCCCTTTTCTGTGTTCCCAGCACTCTTGGTGTCATGCTTTTGCCCTTCCCTCTGGCTGGAGGAGTGCTAGCACACAGAGTAGCTCCTGCCCCTGCAGCTCTGTGGTCAGTGGGTGCAGGACAAGGTAGAAATGGTGGTGCTGTGTGGAAAGCTTCTTGTTTGGACTCTTGCTGGGATGTTAGGGTTTGATTGCAAATGTGGGATGTTTTATTACTGTCCCTGAGGACCCCATTTCTGTTGGTGATCCAGGCTGAGTATCCCTTACCCGAAAATGCTTAGGACTAGAAGTGTTTTATATTTCAGAGCTTTTTCAGATTTTGGATATTTGCATCATACTTACTGGCAGGTCATCCCTGGAGCAGGGATCTGAAATCCAGATGCTCCAGTGAACGTTTCCTCTGAGTGTTGTGTCACTGCTCAGATAGTTCCAGATTTCAGAGCATCTCAGATTAGGGGTGCTCCTCACGGGGCTGTTCTGAGCAGGGCTGTAGAAGGGCAGGGTCAAGGCTGACTGGAACGGGGGGCCTGGGAAGGGGGTGGGAAAGCCAGGTTTCTCTCTCCTCCCTGCCTTTGCCCTCCCTTAAGGGCAGTGTGGAAGGATCCCTGGTGGCTGTTGTCCTTGAGCAGGTAAGAGGGGCATTCTCCGTCACAGCTTGGCTGGTGGGTTGCATGGTGCTTTCCTGATAATGCCCATTCATCAATGAAATAAACAAGTTATTAACTGGAGGAGAGTCCGTGAGAGATGTGGTAGTTAGGAGAGGAGAGATGGGGGTGAGGGGATGGCAGTCACTATGCTGCAGTTAGTGTCAGAAAGGGCCGGGTGGAGGTGCAGGGTGGGTGAGGAGCAGAGTAAACGGGGGTCAGGCGGGTTCACTGGTGGGGGTTGGGGGCTGGCAGGCAGCCATGGACATGGTGTGCATGGGGGTCCATTGAGGCCCGGGGGCCAGTAGTGAGGGCAGGGCCCTGGCAGGTGAGATGCCAAGGGACTGCAGGTCCTGGTGGGAGAATCAGACCAGATATGGCAGTGTGGGCAGAAGGAAGGGCGGAGTATCATGACACCTTACAGTTCCAGAGGGAGGGACAGGGACCCACTGAAGTTTGGCCCTTGGGGCTTTACGTGAATTGCTGCAACGTTTGCTACAAGATGCACAATATTCTCGTGCAGGTGTAGAGAAAGGAGAGTCCAAATTGCCTGGAGATCTTGGATGGACACATTAAACTTCCTTTATGTCTGAAGCTGGTCACTTAGGGTTTCAAGTATTCAGGAAATGAAACTTGCCAGCTGTGATGCCTTTTATTTGTAAGATATGGTGACTTATTTGCTGGAACCAACATCACATTTGGGGAAGTGTCTAGCATAATGATAGGCACAAAATAGATATTTGGTGAATTGAATTAATTCTGGTCATTTCCTGAAAGAAGTAGAGGATCTTTTAATAGCGGGTCATTTCATGCATCGGAGTTGGTCTGGTCTTTGGACATCATCTGAGTTTAGGGCTCTTTCATTTCCTAAATGCTTATAAAATTATGTAAAAGCACAACTTGGCTGAAAACCAGCCTTTAGGTTAACAATTATTACTGTTAATCCATCCTGTATGCTCACAGAGCATTCACACGTGTCACTTCACTTTGTCCTAGTAACAGCCTTTTGAGGTAGGCTGTTTACCATCCTGTTTGATGACTACAGAGACTGAAGCTTTGGCTGGGCACACAGTTAGCAAAGCAGATATCTGATGACCCAGAGATGACTTTTTTTTTATTTTGCAATTATTTTATTATATAAAGTGTACTTACTGTAAACGTTACCCTGAGCCAGTGTCTCTGTCCCCCTGTCAGGGTGTTGGACACATGAACACCTCTTCCAGAGAGGCCGACATGACCCCTTTTGTTTCTGTGTTTAGGGGTCCAAATTTGGACGAGGAATCGGACTCACTCAGACGTCTCAGCGCCCCTCTACCCGGAGATCATTCGGAAGGTCCAAGAGGTTCAGCATCACTCGCTCCCTGGATGACCTTGAGGTGATTTAAGTTTAGTTTCTTCTTATCACCCCCCGACCTGGAGTGATAATGCTGCTTTCCCCGGGCAGCCTTCCCGAATATTTCTGCACCTTTCCCACCTCGACTTGTTCATGATCATCAGGGTATTTTCAGTGTTTGTGTCTCTGTGCCAGACGCTGTATTTAGAGCGAGCCTGTATATTCCCCACACACTCTACCAGGCATTGTCCTGTCATCACTCCCTTCACAGATGTGGTATTGGTCCATAGGTATAGGTAGAGCGTTGTTTTGTGTGACTCTTCTTTTATCTACATTCCTTTTTTGAAAGGAAAATGAATAAATTTTATTTTTAGAGCAGTTTTAGGTTTGCAGAAAACTTGAGCAAGAAGTACGGCGCATTCTCCCGCCCTCTGCCCTCGTGCACCTGTTGGTAGCTGGACATTGTCATCCCACTGCTCTTGGGCAGTACGCTTGTTCCAGATGGTGTGCCAGTGTGGAGACACACTGTCACAGGCGCATGGCACACACACAGTTCCCGCCTCGCTGTCCCTCTGGTTTAGCACACACAGAGGCCTGTCGCTGCCTGGGCCCCTCTGAGCCCCACCTTGCAGCCCCGCTTCCCTCCCCTGATGTTTTCACTGTCTCATTTTGTGTGTTTTAAAATGTTACACTGGTGCAGCCCTACGGTGTGTCTCGTTCTGCCACTCGTAAAACTTTGCGTCAAGGTTACTCACGTAGTGTCTGCTCAGGCATTTGGCTGGGTCTGTTAGGAGTGGCTTGCTCTGTGAATATGTGACAGCTTTCGGTCCATTCTGCTACTGTCGCCACTCAGTAGTCTGCTGTGCAGGGAGCACCTCAAGCTTCCTCACCCGCCTCCTCCATACACATGAGGCTTCACCAGTGTTCCTGACAGTGAAGGGTCTGGGTGAGGGTGTGGCCAGACACTGTCCAGTGGCTGCCCTGACTCTCCCTCTTTAAGGAGAAGAGATGTACTGGGGTCATGGCACATGGGGGCCCTGCCAGCTTGGGCTCCAGGCAACTTGAGGGCATGTTGGGCCTGGTAAAATTGTATGTGGCCAGGCAGTAGTCAGAACCAGCTGCAAGGAGCCTGTGCATGCTGATGGTGAAGAGACATGCGTCTCTAGGCAGGGCCTGGCCTGGTGCTAAAGACCTTTGGGGCATTGGTGGCCCTGACCACAGGCAAAGTCACAGCCGAACCTACCTTGTCTATGGGGTTTTGCCAAGTGTGGTGGGTCTGAGGGTCTCTGAGGGGTCTGAGCCACCCATTCTAGGCCCACAACCCAGCTAGGGCTGGAGACACCAAGCCGGCTCCTTCCCAGTACCCTCTTGGGACCAGGGATGAAAATGGGCATAAACTCCTTGGGCAACACCCAGGGAGATCTAGACTGAGTCAGGGGCTGGGCACTGTGGGAGGTGGAAGCTGGCCCCCAGTGTCTCAAACAAAAGGACCAGCACAGTGCCGGCAGAGCAAGTGGGCCGGTGGGTCTGGAACAGTCTAGAGTATCTGCCGTGAGTGCTGGGTCCTTCAGGGGTCCTCCTGCAGGCCCTGCCTCCCAGCAGACCAAGCCCTGCACTATGGCTCGTTGGCCCTCTCTGTGAAGGGCCAAGACAAGGTACTTTCAGCGTTGCTGGCTGTGCTGTGTGCCATCCCAACAATTCTATGCCACCATTGTCCACCATAGCGCGAGCAGCAGAGCAGACAGCTCATTTCTGCGGGTGGCTGCACCCCAGGCGGCGGGCTGGCCCCGACCATCCCCCTACCCACTCTTCTCTCCTGAGCCCCATCCTGGCTCCCAGGGAATGTGCAGCCACCATCCCTCATCCTTGAGTCCCTCCAGTCATACCCCTCTTGGTCATCTGGAGATGTGGCAGCTTGGGACAGTGGCCATCTACATTCCAGTGGCCTTGTGCTGCAAGGTCCACCCTTCTCAGCCTGAGGCCCTTGCCCAGCCCCCATGTGCCCACTGCCTCCTCCTGCAGCACCCTGGCAGGCTCCAGTAGGCCACTGGAAATAGCCTCCATGGTCTCCAAACCATGTCGCAAATACTGGGACATCGCTCTTTTGGCTCCCTCCTGTCAATTTACCCAAAGCTTCTGTCACACTCAGAATAAAATCCGAAGTGTCAGCCCAACCCTTCCACCCCTCTGTCCCTGCATGGCTGTGGCTGGGCAGCAGCTATGAGCCCCAGGATGCACAGGGACTGGCAGTGGCCGGCACTGGGCTACAGGGGGCATTCAGGCCACCTGTTTGCTCCTGGTGTGGGAGGACTGGGCTTCTGCAGTCATCCTGTGAGTCGCAGTGATGCCATCTGGAGTCTCGTCACAAAACCACAGTCCCTGACAAAAGCAGACGAAACCTTGAACTAGACCTCAGGCTTCATGAGACGCCGAGTGGCCCTGGGGCTGGCTGGTCATGCTCATTCCTGTCCAGCCACCTCCTTTCTTCTGAACCATCCCCAGCACATCACCTTACCTGGGAATGAATCCTCCACAGACATTTCAAAAGCAGCTCTTTTACCTCATTTTTTCCCTTTGCTCTGCTGCCCCTTCCAGGGGAATTTGCCTTGGAAACTCTGTTGTTTGGGTCTTTCATGTACCAGTCTGCTCCTTATGCCTTCAGGTGGGAAGTCACCTGATTTCTCTAAGACCCATCAAGTCAGGGCATGTCACGAGACCTCAGTACCTGAAGTATTTTCTCATTCCCATCAGGTCACAGACAGTGAAGGGTGGATGTGTGATGCTCGTGGCCTGGCAAGGAGGTCACCTCTGTCGGGTGCTGGCCGGGGCCCCATGATGCACGGAGAGTGAACCATGGGGGTGCTGGGGAGGGAAAGGAGGCAGCCAGGCTCCCCAAGCATCAGGCCAGGGTTTGGGGTTTAGGCCAGGCAGGTGGCACTAGGTGGCTTAGGATTAGGGTGAGAGGGTGGGAGGAAGAAATCCCAGTTGGGGAAGGTTTGAGGACTGTCATAGGGTTTGGGCACCACGGCCTCTCTTGGGGGCTTCACAGAGGGGTTACAACCCAGGCCTTTGGCCTGGCTACCAGAGGCCTCCTGAGGTTGAGAGCAGGGAGAGAACCCAGGGCCTGCTCTTGAGTCTAAGGCCATGTTTCCTAAGCCTCTCTGGGTCATCAGCAGAATCTGGGAATGTGCAGCCACTACCCCTCCAGTCATAGCAGAGCCCTCCTCCTCCAATTCATGTCTCTTATCCACTTCCCACATCCCAACTGGGCTGGGACTGGGCTGAGGTCACCAGTGCTCTGAGTCTTACCTGTTTGTCCCTGTGGAGGAGGTGGCAGGGCCTGCAGCCACGATCATCCGCTCATACCCTCGTCTGCTGCTTTCTGTGCACATCTCCCTTAGTTGGGTGCGTGTTCCCATTCCTCTGGCCTGGCTATGCGCCAGGAGTGGGCAGAAGACTGAGGGAGTCCTGGTCAGGTCAGGGCATCAAGGGAAGTATCCTCTGTGCAGTGCTGGGTGGGGTGGGGTGTAACTAGTGAAAAGTGCCTGGGAGGCAGGTGACACCGCAAGAAGGCCCAAGATCAGGGAGCAGCTCCCCGGTGGCCTGGAGATCCCAACCCGTTGAGCCACCTTTGCCTTCCCTGAAACTTTCCACTGGCTTTGGGACACACCTCCCATGGGGTCTTACCTCTGCCCCAGGGCCCTTAACTCCCACTAACAATGACCTTACCTCCCCTAGCCCCATTGCCTTGTCTGAACCCTTGAGGCCACATCTCTGGGCCTCTCCCTGGTACTTCCAAGTGCCCACTCTGCATTTCCCAGCTCAGGACAGACCCCTGGGGTGGCAAGGGACTGTCAGCTATTCAGGGTCTGAGCACCCCACGCTGCAGCTGCTTTCAGGCCCACGTGCTTGCTTGCCAAGTTGGCCATATGGTAGCTTTTCCTCCTGCCTGGGACCCCAGGTAGCTTGTGTGGGCGCCCAGGCAGCCTAGAATTGGAGGCTGTGGATGATATGCCCTTTCTGAGCTCGCACTCTTCCCACTCAACCTGGCATCTCGAAGCCATGGTGGGCTGGGCCTGTGAGCACCAGCTCCCCTGCTGCCAGCCCTGTTTTACTCCTTGTGCCCGAACCTGTCTTGGGCATTTGGGGGCTGTGCTGGGCTTCCAAGGCTCGGGGTCTGGTCCTGCCCCCTTCCTCAGCCCTGAGTCGAGTGAGTGCACCCAAGCTGAGGACAAGGAGGCAAGACTGGGCATGGTGCCGGCAGACAGATGCCCAGGATTTTCTGAACAGTCATTGCTGGTGGCCCCTGCAGCTCTTCGACAATCTGGTAGGCAGCTAATGTCTCCTTACCCAGAGCACATGCTGCTGGGTGCCAGGAAGGGCAAAGCTGCAAGGCCCAGGCCCTCAGGTGCCACAGGCCTGAGGATTCTGTCTAAGTGCTCCCCGGCCCCCATCCCATCTCTTCCAAGACTCTCCTTACCCAAGGCTGGAGAGGAGGGCCACTTTAGGCGACTGAGCTTGCCTACTTCAAAGGACAGACTGGCAGTGGAAGAGGAGATGGGGGAAGCCTGCAAAGAGACAGAAGGACCCAGAAGGACTGGTCACTAGTGATGGGACAGTAGTTTCTTCTTGGTCTCTGTGGCTGTCCCCAGCTTCTGGTGCCCTCTGCTCTGGTCTGGAGGCCATTGACTCCTGCAAAACTCTACACATCAGTGCAGGCCCCTGAGACATCAGCCAGGGAAGCACCCAGGCTGTGGCATCTTGGGGCTGTGCTGGCCACCTGTAAGCACTGACGGCTGCTTTTCCAGAGCCCTCTCATTGGTTTCCCCTGAACGTGTTCGTGTTAGCGTGTGGTGCTCGTGCACATGTGTTGGAGGGTGAAGGTGGGCAGTGGGGAGGGGAGGGAGTCGGGAATGGAGGGGAAGATTTCTGATGAGGGAGCTGGCCATGGTGCCTTATGTCCCATCTGGAGTCTGTTGGGCCATTCCAGCCATGGCTGTCATCTGTGGGACACATTCAAGTCCCGCATCTCAGCCTTGGGCC